TCCAAAAGCTACATTTTCTTTTACCTTTCAGTAAAAAATTTTTTATAACAATATGTGCATTGATATAATGCACCAAAGGTCCCCTTTGCACTGAAGAATGCATTTCTTCTTCTCTACGATTGGCCAAATACCACATAGAAAACAAAATTTATTCATACCTCTTTCTAATAACATCAACGAAAGAAGAAGATAGAAGGAAGAAGAAGAACAACAACTCGGAGATGGGGAGACTGAATTTTATTCGATTTCTCGAATATTATCGGATCACGACCGGTGCATACAGTGGTGTAAGGATCACAACCTGCTTGTGACGTCGGTAAAATGTCCTCGAGCTGGGCGCAGCATTGAACTTAGCTGGACGCGACGTGCTTCATCGCGAGACGGGTACGAGTGGCGATGTTCAAAAAAGGGTTGCGATGGAATGGCTTCAATGCGCCGGAATTCACCGGTGCGCACACACAGGGTATCGAAAATACATGGTGGGGAATCAAGCGAGGTTTGCCCCAAACAGGAACATCCAAAGGACTTTTCGATGGCTACCTACAAGAATATATGTGGCGTCAGCACTACGGAAACGATCCCTTTGGAAACATTATCGAACGTATCGCCCAACTTTGTGAAGTCCAGAAAGAGTAGATACAAAGGTTTCTTTGCATCGCTGTATACACCGGCCTTCACGAACAATTTTCATCACTAGGACACGAAAGGATAATGAAAGAATCAACCAAAATCACAAGAACAGGTAAGACACAACATTTATTTAAACTTTGCATCGACAAACTTCAAAGCCTGACCGTAGACTTAACGTTATTTTCCGGCCAATTTTACGCTTTCAAAGCGAAACTGAACATCCAGTTATATTTCAAAATTAAAAACCTCTGGAAAATTACTTGAGTTTTCTGTTTTGCAAAGCCAAAACGCGCCAAATTTACCCTGTTTCAAAAAAGACTTAGAAAAAAAATCCAAATTTTCAAAACAAAGACTACTAGTCTCTGCGGAGTGCTATTGTTATCGCTATTGTTTTAATTGAACAAAGACTGAATGCATAATTAATGTATAGGGTTATATGGTACTCTTGCCCTGTTTAAACCTGAGAAACTACGAAAGAAACTTGGTAAACTTGCAGCCTAAAATTTGATCAAAAATTACCGCAGTCACAGAGATCACTGCAGTGGTGATTTACTTCGTAAATCTATGGTGCCATAGAACTGACACCTCATATTGCAGTGCCACTTGCTATTAAGTTCTAATGTTGTTTTGATACTCAATTAAAATGGTGCGTCAAAATGCTACCGGCCGGCTGAGTCGCAAGTTTCACCGATAACCTCTCCAAATGCCCGATATTTTACAGAAAACTTTAAATAAAAATCTTTCGCGGAATTTTCGTGTATAATACAAGAAAGAAATGGATTTCGAAGTAAGTACTGTTTGTACTAAGTATTATGCCTCAAAATACGTTTATTAATAGCAGAATTAATTTTAAAGCATCGTCTAAATATTTCTTTTCACGATTAACCGCCAATTTTTCCAAAATTTTCGTTCCGAAATATCTTAGAATTTTGCTTGCTCTCTTGATATTCAAACCACCATTTTGACCAGAGTACTTTAGCATTTTAGATAAGTTACATTCTTATCTTAACGACGTTCCCCAGTGCTTGACAATCCATTGATTCCCACTTTTGAATTCTTCTTGTTCAGCTTGATGTCTTCACGGTAGTTTTTGTCTGAACATTAAACATAAAAAACACATTTAACATCATCGTTAGAAACCTTAAAATTCTAACATTACTTCTCTTCCACAGTAACTTATTTCAGTTCTAGTGTGATTTTCCGCACAGAATTATCTTGGAGACAACGTGCGGAAAGATAAAGAAAATTCCTTGCTCTATCTCCTCACGTGTCCTCACACAAGTGTGATGTTCCAACCCAGAATATTGAACGACTTATCGTCGCTAGACTCAAGTTGCGATCGCATTAAGAAAGAACCATAGTTTTGTTTGTAAAGTTCATGATAAAAGTAGAACTGAAAACGTCGTTGGAAAAGCATGTTTGCCCGTTTAAGTCGTCATGTTGCTTTTCAAAAAAGCCTTGCAAAGCTTCGAGGCGAAATCCCAAACGGACATGGCAACCCCTAAATTCTTCCATCTGTAACTAGTTTCTCATTAAAGCTCTATTGTGTATGATACTCACCGTTTGCTCAAGTAACTCGAAACTTAGAGAGGTAAGTATGCTTCTTTATCCATTTCTTTTGACAGTAAAAATCTGAGAGGATCGGCTTCGTTGGACATCTACACGTGGCCGCCAACAGTTTGAAATGATGTTTAATCAAAATTTTTCATGAATATGGATCAAAACGTGTAGTCAATCTGTAGCAAATACGTCACAGTTTTGGGTGTGGTTTGGTTTACTTTTTGCACGCTTTTTAACAGAATGTTGAATTTTGAAAAGGTCCTTTATCTATTGATGCTTGAAACATAGTTTTCAATGAAGCAATGTCGTGGAAATGAGAAAACGAAAGAAAGAATCAGAAAATGATTTAGAAAAAAAAACTTGGTATGAAATGGGAAAAGGAACAAATCATGGGAAAAAAGTTAAAAAAGAAAAATACGGCAAGTACCCCGGAACAAGATCTCCATCCTGACTGGGACCGCTTTCGCGGTACAATGCTCTACCCACTGATAATATTTAGCTCACAGAATTATAGAGATATCATATGGAGGAAAAGAAACAAATAAACAAACAAACACAAACATACTGACATATAAGTGAAAAGAAAAATAGAAATTGACATGCTCTTCACGTTTTCCACCTGGGACAATATTCGCGGTCCCAGCTTATTTGCAAAATTTAATCCAGCATGCAAAGACCTTTAGTAAAATATTGTTTAAAGCGAGGTATAAAATAAGAAAGAAAACGAATCATTAAACAAGAAACAAAAAAGAATTTAAAAAGGTAAAAGCAAACAAGAAAACGGCAAGTTCCCCGAAACAGGATCTCCATCTGATTGGGACTGCTTTCGCGATTCAACGCTCTACCCTCTGAGCCTGCCGGGAACTTGCCATGAGAGGAGAGCAAAATTTAAGATTATACGTAACAAATGGATTACTTGCTGTAAGGAACAGGTGAGTAATGATTCCGATCGAGGAAAAGTGTTTCGATCCTAAGATAAAATTACTACAAAAACTATGTAGCAGTTAATTTAATGATGTTCAAACTCAGAAGCGTTCCGACGCATGTCCTCAATTTAAGAATGTAGGAAAAGGGTGAACTTGCCAATAAGTGGAAATAAGACTTCGCTAGTCTAATGACGTAAAAAAAGGAGTGTAAAATGACACCACAGACTATTTATAAGCTAGATATAAAATGAGAAAAAGAAAAATCACCGTAAAAAAAAAAGATGAAAAAGAAAATCAACTGAAAAAACGGCAAGATCCCCGGAACAGGAAGTGCTTCTTGACTGAGACCGCTTTCGCGGTACAATAGACCACTTTCATAAATGGCTGCCGGATTAATATTCTTTTGTTTAAATTTAAATTAGCCCTTCTGGCCTCGCTTGAGATAATGTCTTCTTTTGAATTTTGTACTGGAGAACGAGGCCAGAAGGGCTTATTTAAATTTAAATAAAAGAGGTTTAATCCGGCAGCCATTTATGAAAGTGGTCTATACTGAGCTGCGGGGAACTTGCCTTGAAAGGAGAGCAAACTTGAGGATTATATGTAACAAGTACACTACGAACTACAAGGCAGAAGTGCATAAACATTCTGGAGGAAAAATGTTTAGACTGCAAAATGAACCTCATAGTGTTCAATTTCCGTAGCGTTCCGATACATGTCCTCAGTTTAAGAGTGTGGGAAAGGAGTAACCTTACCAATGAGTGAAAAAAAAAAAAAAAAAAAAAAAAAAAAAAAAAAAAAAAAAAAAAAAAAAGAAAAGAAAAGAAAAGAAAAGAAAAAGCGGCAAGTTCAAGTTCTAGATTATTTAAACGCTGGTTCTAAATAGGAAAGAAACAAATCTTAAAAAGGGTTATAAAGAAAAGAAAAGCGGAAAGTTACCCTGACGTTCAATTAATTCACGTTCAATTTTAATCGTGTTATAATGCACGTCCTCAATGTTACCGTATGGGAAAAAGTAAACTTGCCTTAATTGGACAAAAAAACGGCTGCTTATTTACAAAGTATACAAAGACATTCAAGACTATTTATAAGATGCGTATGAAATGAAAAAACAAGCAAAAACTCGAAAAGTGATGGAAAAAAAAACCAAAAAAAAAAACCAAAGCAAAACAAAACAAACAAAAATAATGCTGACGAAACGTTCTTATTTCCGCGGGAAAAAAATTCCTCAGCTGTCCATCAAGTAAGTATCACCTTGATGGACTTTTGAGTTTTTATTAAAGAAGTGATTCAGTCAGGCATGTGTTGTCTTGTAACAGAAACTGATAAAAAAAAAAAAAGAATCTAACAATGGACTATTCACTTATCCTAACAAATAAAATCAAACAGAACATTGAACAGAAAACCGCTACATTGGTTTATCAAATTGAGTTGTTAAAGAGGGGGACATTGAGGTCGATTAGAAACCGCAAAACCGCAAAAAAACAATTCGATCAGAACCGAAAACCGCATGCAAAACCGTCTAAACCGATAAGTTTGCACATCTCAGTTGTAAAAATCCTAATCGATCTGATACTGTGGTTACAAGTTTCGCGGCTATTCGAGATCAGTAGAGGCATGTAACTGCTGCTCAGATCGAAGAGAAACCGGAACCCCAATATGAAAAACCGAAAAAGCACATCGGATACCAAATCAGAGTACCCGTTAAAAGTTTTTACAAAAACCGAAAACCAAATGCTGAAAACGGAAAATCCGCAATGAACAACGAAACCGAAAAATCGATCTAAAAAATAGCCAAAACCGCAGAACCGCAATCCCCCCTTGTTAAGCAGTTCATGAAATAGTTTCACATTTAGATACTAATAGCTACATGTATAACAACAGTAATTCAGAGAACAAATAAGACCATTTTATTGTCAAAAATCAATACAATTTTGACATATGGACATGCTTATCTATGAACTACATGACTGTTTATAATCACTTTAACAATTTGCCTCTTCAATATAAATATTTAAATTGATATATCATTTCTCACTACCAATCAGTTCCCTCTTAGATTAGAACAAAAGGAGGCAAAGTTAAGGAGGCCATCTAATAGACTACTGTCCAACAGTCTGCCCTTTGGTTAGCTTGTTTCACACAATGACCCCTATCTCAGCCCTCATAATTTTACACTGTTTTAATCTTACTGGGATGCTTAATCACAGGCTAAAAAAATTGCTTATCTTTCTCTTTCATTAGACCATCCATGCACTGCAGTTAATAATCACCTTTTCCATCTTTACAGTCAACTCTTGCCCTATAGAAACATCCTCAGTTTTGGACATACATGTACACGTTTTAAGTGTGCTTGTTCACAAAAATTAATGTTACACAGTTTCATTTGAAGTAAATGGCGCTAAAAAAACAGATCCAATAGCTCTCTCAGCAAGCACCTCACAAAAATGTACACGAGACTACAAATCAATTAAATTGAATAACTGAGAAGCATTTTCAATACATAAATTTGATATATCTTGCAAGACCTCAAAATATATTAATCTGATTATGCCAAAAGACCACAATAACTGTAATAATAAATACACATAATGGTCTTGTCACTCATTTCAGTGTATGTCATTAAGTTTCTGTAAAAAAAAAAAGTATTAATGGGATCAAAATAAGCCACAACTCTCAAACTGGAGTTCAGATACTGTTCTTACTTAAGAAAATTTAATAAGGCACTATACTTTCAAAATTATTGCATTTGTGGCATATTAAAACCTGCAAATGAAACTTCAAATTGAATGCTGGACAAACAAATGAATGTGTGGAATACAGCACTGATACCCACTTCACACCAAAGCTTAGTTTTGTTAAACACAGTTTAACCTTTTTGTAAACTACTTAAACTGATTTTTGTTGACTTCAAATGTAGCACACTGGAAACAAAAGTTAGCAATTACTTGAATCTTATAGAAAATCCAATTTTTCAGTTATCTGTTTATGATTTTCATACAGTAAAAACTAGTTTAACAAAACATGCTTTGCTGGTCTGAATGGGGTATTAGTCACATTTGATGCAACTCCAACTTCTCCCTCAGTTTTCACATGGAACTACCACACAAATTGGAAAGAGAGTCTGGCATTCTATCACAAGTTAAAAGAGGCATTTTTAAGGATACCCCAGCAAATGTTTCTTGCCATATCTAGTGTATGAAGATATCTAAAATAACAGTACTATTTTTGTCTCTATTTACAAAACCAAACTTAGCTTCAACATCTAATAGGCCCTATACAATACATACTTCATCAATTTTTTATCAATCTAGCATGTTAAAATGGTAGTGACAGTCTCCTTGACTGACGTGCAGCTGGCCAACTCAGCAGGTTCCCTGTGACAATGATGGTATGCTGAATGCATATGTATGAAAGCACAGGCCACCCAGCCCTGCTGACAGGTTTCTGTTACACCTCTATTAACAACATGACTTTCTTGCTGTTGGCTTGTTGTCTACTTGCACATCACCCCTTGGTCCTAAAATAAGGGTATAAAATCTCATTAAATATTAGGACTCAAAATGCCGAATACAACAATACAGCAAGATGGATAGAACCCCATTAATGTATACTGATTTCACAATGGCCTCATCTTCCTTGGTACAGACTGTCAACACTATAGCAAGCTTCTTTCTGATACTACCTCCCCACCCCTCCTCCAAACCCACATTCCATCCCACCTTGCAAAAACTCTATTGCAATAAGCAGTAAACCGATATCATGTCATACAAATGTTTTCTGAGCAAATGGTTACCAGTGGGCCAGTTAGCATTTCATTCCAAAATAGCTATTAAAGCATCCACCTCTTATGAGTTTCCCAAGAAAACTCTTTGAGGTTATTCAGTAGAGGTCCAACTAAATAATTTGTGAATTTTCACCCATGAAAGTGACCAAACATGGCTTTCTCCCCACAGAAAAATCCATACATTTTCAAGTAGAAAGGTGATGAGAAGTGAAAAAGTTATCCACCACGGGAATATTTTTCCATCATCCACCAAATTCTTAAATCTAAAATTATAAGTGATGAAACACAAACAGTTTGGAGAATCACTGTTTAGATCTTTGGGGTGAGACGGTTTAAAAATAATGATTGCAAGTATAACTTATACATACCAGAGGAAACAGGTTTGTTGGATTTCATAAAATCCTCTGCTATCCTCTCAAAAACCTTATCTGTAAACAAGCAACAACAAAATGTCAAGTAAGTGGAAGCATCAAGTCACAGTCTCTTTCTAATCCAAGGACCATTCTTGCAATCATATTATCCTTTTACACCCTAACATCAGTATGCATATTCTCCATACTGATCTCTTTTAATTAATTTCTCAAGGTAAAGCAAAAAAGGAGAACTTAAAATAGGGGTCTTCTGCTTCCATCTCATTTTAAATCAGTTCTATGAAGTTTCAATTTGCAAGTTTATCAAATATTGATTTTCTAGCCATGGAGGTTTTTAATTCATCAGGTATTTTATTTTCATCATTCACACTCACCAACATTGTATCCTCTTTTGCTTGATGTTTCAAACATATCACCACCAATTTCTTAAACAAACGAACAAAAAAAAAAGTTATTAATTGCAGGCTATTGCAGAGTCTACAACTACATGTACATCCCTGCAAATTCCTCAATCTTACAGTACTGTAGTTCATTAGAGTAATAAGTATCGACCAGTTTTTTTTCCTATCTCTAAAGGAAATATGATTGCTGTAAAAAAATTCAATTCAATTGGATATAGCAAAAGCCAAAAAAGGGTGAAAAAAGGATTAATTCATCCCTGGACAGAATTTAAACCTATGACTTTCTTGCTATACAGAGTAAACTTAATTTTTTTCCTTCAACTGTTCCATATAAATTAAAAGACTTTATTACCATACCTTTTTAACAAACAGCAGTACATTTTACTTAATAACTATAAAAAGCAGTTACACGTGAAGGAGTCAGTATTTTTTTTTACTGACCTCTACAATAATTTAAGACTGTTTTTGTCTGGATCTCCCTTGGCTGCACAGCTTCTTCTATTAGATCAAGTTTTGTTCCACAAAGATAGATCTTGCAATCCTATAATTTAACATTATAATTAGTGTCTCATGGAGTATCATGCAAAAGAAAAGAAAGATTGGATGACTTTTTTTCTTTAACTAAGAAAAGAAAAGGAAGTGAGCCTCCTCGGGGTGTATATAAGGAGGGAAAAAAAGTTAGTGATGATTTCAAACAACTCACAGGTTCTGCAGCTTTAAGTTGATCGGCCCAAAACTTGGCTTTATCAAAGCTTGCTCTGTCTGTTAGGTCTGCATAAGGAAGCACCCAGAGTTACGATAAACTTACCATTAATTTTGCAGTGACTTGTGAATATGTTTTAAAAGTACTTTCATTAATGCTCAGATTTTGCAATCTAGAAGTTGCCATATCTGATCTCATCTCGAATGAGGATTCTTTACTTGTATAAAGGGACATTGTAAGTCTCCTTTGTTATCATAAAAAGAACCCCTCATCATCCTTCCACCCCTCCTAAAACAAATTGTAATAATTCACTGAGGTCTAAGAAAATATTGTGACAAAACCCATCTCAACAAAACAAATTTCATAAAAAAGTTTTTTAAATAATCCCAGAATTCCTTTACAAATATCACAAGATGCTTCCAAACCCAAGTTATTGGGTAGTCACTTATGCTAATTCTAAATAGTTGCACTAACCATAGCATAAGATGGCTGCTTTAGCACTACGGTAATACATGGCACTCATTGCTTGATACCTTTCTGCTCCAGCTGTGTCCTAACAAGGTTAGCAATACCTCACATCACACTCACTTCAACAAATAAAAGAATCTGAGAGGAAAAAACTTGTCAATTTAAGTTATGAAAGGTAGTGAATAAAAAAAATCAATGTTAAGTTCTTGCAGATGGAAAGCAAGTTATAATGTATTGAGAGAAAACCTTATACTTAAATCTCAATGTGAATAAAAGTTTGTGAACAAAAATTTAGCTCAGATTGCACTTTAAAGATTTCAATTACAGTCAAAATAGAAAACCTTACCCAAATTGCTAGGGAAAGATTCCTGCCTTGAATATAAAGATCTTTTCTACAAAATGCTGCTCCAATTGTCTGAAGGTAAAAAAATTAGACACAGAGATGTTACTTTGATAAACTTGACTTCGAAAACTAAGCCCTTAAAAATTATTGACTACAACCTTCCCAAACAAGTGAAAATGCATGAAATGCAGACTTTCGTGTTCTTGATTTGACATCACATTACCCGCTAGAGCCATTCCTCTTTAAACTCGATCGTGGGGCAAGATCGCGGCCGATTTTCTGTATTTTGACTGGGCACAGAAAATTGAAGATTTGAGCAAATAAAAAAAATTTTTGCACAGAAATACTCCAAAAAATACACTTATTTCGTTACGTGAAAAAAAATTTTGGGGTTTAGGTGCACTTTAAAACAGGAGTGCTCGTTAAATTTCAATTTCCTCCCTCTATATGATGCCCATTTATAGATTATTTCATAGATGTTAACCTTACCAATTCACTACAATTCATTTTTCTTAACTTCTACCCTAATCAAACGTGACATTGATCTAATTGTTTCACTTACATAAATCTTTCAGATAGTTTTAATAATTTTATTTCAAAACATACAGTGTACATGTAGATTTAAACCAAAGCCACTCTTGAGTTACATTAATTTTCTAAAACAATAAGTCAGTGTTCTTTTGTTATGCCAATCTGACTTTGCAATAAATGTAAGATTTTCTCTTTACTGTAAAAGATCTAACCGGCAATGCTCTCCTAAGATGCAGCTGCACATGTGTGAAATTTCATTTACATTAATCATGAGAATTTGGCAGAATCCAATTGACATTTTCTTTCCCAAAACTAGAAACTGTTTTTTAAGCCTTTGAGTCGTTGCACTGAAGATCAGGGTTGACGAGAGAAGACTTTGGTGCGACAAGAAGACTTACAAGGAGCTTGGATTGTTCGAATGCGAGAGTGACGTAATGTAGACGACATTTCCTTGTCATGAATATGCTGACCTGTGAGCTGCAGATTTCAGTTGTTCAGTATATGTGAACATGAGTGATATCAACAAAGACAAAAATTAAGGCAAATCGAACATGAGTTATAAAAGATACAACACAGTCAGGTTATAGCCGATAAATTATTAATAAATCTCTTCTCTCCTGGGTCAGTTTACCTTCTTTCAGAACTATACACAGCTGACGCGCGACGTGCATGACGAGGAAAGTGTGTTTCTGATACGTTTTAGAAGCTTGAACGCAACACACTCCATTATGCACTGTCTCGATAGCATACAGTAGAGTAAATTAACATTAATCAAGAAAGTTGTACTCACACTTGGCGTTTCCTCGCTAAATGACCGTGTGATGTATCGAGTAACAAGGCATGTCTTTCCGCTGTTAACTTTACCTAGAAGGACAACTTTTAGATACGTTTTCTCTTGCATTTCATCTAAATCTCGTAAGAAATACGACTAATACCACCGATAGTTACAGATTGACATTAAATAATCAAATAAAAACGTTCGGAAAGGCACATAAATCACATATTTGACGACGGCTTTCCGCTGGACTACCCGCCATATTTTTGTTTGTTAAAGGCGTCATGTAAGACTCATAGATCTGTATATGACATCACGCGATTGAGCAAGTCAATAATGTACTGAGTTGTGAAGCGTACTTCCGATTCATGTTCAATGACCCAAGAAAAGGAAAGGTAAAGAGGGATAAAAATGTCCTCTCACACATTTCCATGTACTCAAAAATAGTAAATCATGCACTTTGAAAAAAAACGAAAAAAGGAAAACCAGTACACCTTTCCTATTTGGGATTCGACCAGCTAGATGGCCGCGTCCATATTTGCAGGCCGCCTCAGGGTTAATGGTGCTATTGGCGTCATTTTGATTGTGGAGTTCTTCCTTTTACGTATGACTGTACTCGCGTTTTGTCATCGCCTTACGTTCGCCCCCATTTGTCTGAATACGCCTATATTATCCGTTCGTCTCGACAATGAGCGGGGTGCCGTACACCTTAGTGGACCCCCTAGCTATAGTGCTTACTATGCTTGACGAGAGAGGCACCTCGACTCGTGCATCAGTACTCTGTGGTTGCTTTAAGGAAATGCCACAAATCAGTAGACTACGGTTGTTTGTAAATGCACAAGGAAATTACTTCCACGTTACCCATCTCTCTTATGACACTACCCGTGCCTTACGGTACCGAACTGTACACACCACAAACAGCCAGCAGACAGTCCGCAAAGTTCTCTTCAATTCAAGAAGTAAAAGCATTTCAAACACCACAAAGATTACACTTCCAAAGACTATTTTAAACAGGAAAATTCGGTAATTTATGCTGCATTTTTGTATTTCTGGCCTATTATCCCTTCCTAGATTTTTAGTGGCCTTCTGTGCTGACCGTTCGTTAAAAAAGGTTGAACAACACTTTTATACATTAACAGACAAGACCAAGAGTAATTTCAAAAAATTTCCTTTAATACCTGAGCTATGAAAAGCTCAAGATTGAACAATAATCTTCTTGTTTGACAAGCATAAAAATTTATTAATGATCACCTTTCTAGGAGTAAGAAATGATTCATTATATATCTCTATATCTATCGCTGGTAAACTATCTTATGGGTGTACTAATGTCTCTCAGTTTGTAGTTCCTATTTCAAAGTTTCGCTTAATTCCCCAACTCAGTTATTAGAATGTGTAGCTTCCTTTTCCACCAACAAATAACATCAACCATCAACGGTTCTTCATAAAAACAATCATCCTTTCCTCGGCGTTGCGTGACTGCAATTGGTTCGGTCACGACAGAATCGTGGTACTATCACTCTCGACAACATCCGTGGAAATTCGTTTTCGTCTTGGACCAGTGCTGTCATCCTCATCAGAAGGGTGCCTCTTCTTTAGAACCTGTGTAATTAAGAACAAAAAACTGTTTTTACAACGTAGAGCCTACAGCCAGAATTGGACCGCTTTGTGGAGGAGATTGGGTAGCTTTCAACTGAATGTTGAAAGTAAGGCGGAATCGCACTGACTTTGCTTCTGCGCAGTCAGTGGTTGTTCAAGAAAACTCGCGCCCCTGTTTCAACCAATCAGATGCAAAATCAAATCAATCACGACTTGGTCACTTCCGTTTTCCCGCGCTTTAAACTGTTTGCGTGATTTTTTCTCAAGTTTTGTTGGCTTCTTGTGATATTTAGCTTTAATCTGATTAAATGTTGAAGTTGGTTTTACGACACTCGATCAAAGACCAATAATGTTTCAACCAATAATAATGACAGACAGGTAAACAGAAAGTCAGACAGTCAGACAGACATTGGAGGCCCAACACACGAGTTGTATAGAACTAGAAACAAGAGAGCTATTAGCCCAATACTTACAGGCCCAGAAGGCGGAGGCATATCAGCGTTCACTGCAGCCATCAGCTGATTTGCCTTTTCGATTACTTTTTCGTCATTCTGGATGCAAGACAGGAAAGAAACGGGCAAAAGTCAGTAATCGAGCAAAGTGCCCCAATCCCCCTCCCCTCCAACCTCGTTCCCAGATTTGTGGGCGAGAAGATGAGAGACACTGGGAACGAGGTTGCCTCCCCTCCAGCATTTCAGCGAGCTCCCTTGACAATTTATACCCATGTGTACTCCTGGACGGGAGAGGGCACTGTGAGACTAAAGTGTCTTGTCCAAGAACACATCACGATGACTCGGCTAGCTATAGAACCCGGATCTATTGGCCCGTAGTCCAGCCCACGGACTTATTTCTCTAACCATTTTCACTGCATTACCGCAGTAGGGTAGGACTAGAACGGAACATATGCGAACCAGGCGAGTAGTCCACCCAATAAATCCCACCCATCCCACCCCAGGGGAGGACATCCATCACACAGTAATCTCGTGCGTGGGAAATTAACGTCTCCTACCCCTAACCTTGTAGGAGACGGGACCTCCATTTATTCGTCCCTATCCGAGAAGACTAGAATATCTAACCATTTTTTGATGTTATAGAAAGGTAGCATATTCTTCTCAATTATTTTAAGACCTTGAGTGTTGGTCCGGCCGGGGCATGAACCCTCGACCTCCCGCACACCAGTCCAGCGCTCTATCCATTGAGCTAACCGGGAGGCGGTTAAGGCGGTTTAGGGCAGCGCGTCTCCCACAAAAGATACTGAGAGGAAAGGTAAAAATTTAATTTTAACAAGGGTGAAAAGTAATACGGTCTGCGCTCGTTTATGTTAAATGCAGCAAAACAGTCCACCTAGGGAGCTGAAAACTGTAATTATCAACTGATAGTCACACCATATCCAAGTGTGCTACAAATGAATTAGCATATCGAGTCACCACAACTTGTTATCTTATGCAATGAGTCAGAGATGCCTTAGGAAGGCAAGCAAGAAAGAAAGCAAGACAGAAAGCTAGAAAAAAAAGGAAAGAAAGAAAGAAAAATGAAATAAACAAGGAAAGAAGGAAGGAAGGAAGGAAGGAAGGAAGGAAGGAAGAAAGGAAATAAGACCAAATTTCAGCCAGCTTGACCTCACTCTTGGTCGTGAGCGTACATAAATTGGAGTGCAGAGAACATGAAGCTGAGGAGGAAAGTAAACTGTACATGCTCACAGACGAATACTCACTGAAATCCAGGGATGTTGCAGAGCTTCATCCACAGTTATTCTTTTCTGCGGATCCGTAGTTAGAAGTTTCTTAATTAGATCGATGGCTAAATAAAAGGAAAATAGAGCAAACATTTAAACAGTGACCATTCGAACTTCTTCTTTATTTGTAGTAGAGTAATTGCAGGGGAAAAAAAAGGTTTCTTGCTTTATATCTAAGCTAAAAGATAGTCTTCTGTAAACTTGTTTTTCAATCATTATTCAGAATGATTGATATCAATGGCTGTTTTTTTTTTTTTGTTATTTTATAACCACTCCATTTGCAAAGAAAATAATTTAATAAGGTAAAGGAAAAGATTATCAGTTTCAGTATATACCTTCAGGTGAGACAGATTTCCAGTAACTTTTTGGAAAAGAGTAGATGCCTTTGACAATCTGCTCGTGAAGTGTGTGCTTCTTTATTTCTTCTGAGAAGGGAGGGTAACCTCCAAGACTATGAGAAAAAGAAAATTTATACGCTGAGTGATAGTAAAATCAATTAATAAGTCATAACCAGGGGTTCGCAGCTGAACAGGATTTTTCTCATATAATTATATCCAATTTACTTTTGGAAGCAGCACTTTCATGCCTGTGGAGCAGCTAAAGAACACGTTACTCCCCACATGGACTTGCTCACAAGTCTACTCCCCACATACCACCTGTATACGTAAACATTACTAGCCTAGTAATTAACTCAGTGTCGTGACAAGCTGAAGTATCATTTCCAACAGTTTTTTTTTTTTTAGATAAGGTTCAAGCACGTTTTCTTGCAATTCTAGTGCGTTTGCGTGCAGAAACGTGTATTGCGTGTTCCAACCACATCCGTATCGAATAGTAGCTGTGGTCTTTTGTTTTCTGTCACGAATATCTAATGGTGATTAAGATTGTAATCGGATTATATTCGGTCATTTTGATGTCGAACAAGGTAAAGCAGTCAATGCTAAGGAAATAAGTGTCGTGCACAAGTTTTAGGATCAGGAAGAAACAATGATGAATATTTGACAGTTTAGGTTTGCGGTCGGATGTACGTATCTAGGGCGTTTACGTGTGATAGCAATAAAACTAGGGAACCTTGTAACATTAGGAAAGAATGATTAGAATAGTTGTGATGAGTGGAAGTATGACTGCAATAAAATGAAGAAAGCGACATATACAGTCCTTAGTGTTTGTTGAACTAGCGAGCGTGGAGGTATTCCTAACGCAGTGGAAAATTCCGCAACACTATTTACCATATAAACAATATGACACCCAAGCTCCACAGATCAACAGCTTTAGAGTACCCTCCCATGCCAGCTGTCAAGAGGACCTCTGGTGCCAGATAACTAGGCGTGCCACACAATGTCTTCATTAAACTCTGTTCTCCCACTACTTTGGACAGTCCAAAGTCAGTAATCTGTGTAAGGAACATAATTGAATGTTTATGTGCAATTCAAAAGTAAAATTATGTAGCTGATCCAAAGCCCCACATGACTGCTTTGCATGGTTTCCATGGCATAGAGCAACTGGCAATACTGCTACTCCCCATAGATGGAAGGCCAGTCCATGGCAGGTTATCCACCCCTGTATTTTGTAAGCACTGACAGTTTGACAGGGTTCTTGCACATTTTCAGGAAACCAATTCAAGGACTTTCAAGGACTTTTTAGGTCATTTTCAAAGACCTTGGCTCTCAAATTCAAGGACTTTTTGCATTGAATAGGAGATAATAGCAATAAAAACATTGCTCTTTGTTATTAAAAGTAACAGATAAAAGTCCAACGAATGTGACTTCAAGCATGCACATCAGAGTGATTGCATGCTAGGTAACCATGCAAGGTTATTTTCAATGCAGCAATCAGGTACAAAATATATGAAAATCACGTGTCAAACGTACAGATGCAGGATTTGAAAGGAAAACTTATTTTTGCGATTTGTGCTAGAAACTTACACTTTCAACATCAAAAACAAAAGAAAACTTTGACTTTGATTCATCTGCACTGACTTATTTTCAAGGACTTTTCAGAAATTTTCAAGGACCAGAGTCTAAACTCAAGGGTTTTCAAG